AGGGCTGGATCACGGCAAGGTATTTGCCTGCCATGCGGAAGCCTGCAAGGCTTCGTTTGCGATTCTCCAACATGCCGTCAACCTCGATCTGCGGATCAATGCGAACGTAGTCGACAAAATATGCAATGAGGGGAGTGCAAGCGTGCAATGCCGAAAGTCATGCTATGCACTCCCAGGACACTGACGATGTCGAGCAGAAAATTGCTCAGGTGACCCGTGCATGCAGTTGAGAAGGGCTGCAAAACCGTCCTGCAAAGAGCGAGAGGGCGATGCATCAATGCGGTGGCATTGGGGCCACTGCTGAGGCGTGTCATTGTCGTCGAATGCGTTGATGCAAGCGTTGGATTCACTGACCATGGTCATCGCAGCGCCAGGAAGCAAAGCGGTTGCAGCGTGAAATTGAATGGGCGTGCGAAACAGGGGCTTTTGCTGCACAGGATGGCGCAGGGCTGAGACCACTGAGGGACAGGCTTGCTGCTTCCACCTCGACTCAGGCTCGGGAGTGAGCGACTTGGCAACAATCAATGAGGCTTAAGGGGAAGAATTCTTTTCTGCGGAATGCGTCTGTTACCCATTGTGCAGGTATGCTGTCTGCGAATTAGTTCGAGCATGGCGGCATGCAAGAAATCGCTTGTTTGGAAAACGGAGGGTAACGTCTGCAAATATGCTGCAAGAGCGACGAGCGCGATGAAGACCCCATGCAGAATGCCGCCATGCGCAAATAGAAGCGGATGCTCAGGAGCACGAAAACCATATCCTCAAGGACGATTTCCACGTCTAGGTAACTACGTGCAATCGCTTCCAGCATGTCATGGCACTCCATGGCGGGCGCGCTGCCGAAAGTGCTGAAAGCTGCAGTCACAAAACTGGGCTGAAGGCCCCTAAGCGCTAAGCACTGGACGTGCTCGAAGGCATCCGTAGTGCTTGGAGCGGCCTGGGTGCATCCGCGGTGCAACCAGGCGAGGGGGTGTGCGTTGCGCACACAGCTGCACGTGCGGTGCAATGCCGGGTCGTGAGTGCTCTGCGCACGGCCTGGCAAGAAGGCCTTTGCGGTGCAATGATGAACCCTGGTGAAGCATCAGCGGTGCCGCACTGTGATTGAAGCCATCGGTGGCTGAGGGCTCAGAAGCATAAGCGCTGAGCGCCAGGCATGCTCTCCCAGCTGCTGCGCCGGGAGGTGCGTGAGTGCAACGGCGGTGCGTTACAGGCATAGGCTCTGGACTGGCTTCCAAAGCATCTGCGGTGCAACAAAAGGCCTGAACGCATCTGCGGTGCAATTGGGCAATAAGTATGCATTGCGCACAAGGACCGCGCGAGGCGGTGCGCATGCTGGCTAAGGGTGCGTTGCGCACGGGGCACGCGCTCAAAGCATCAGCGGTGCAGCGAGTGGCCTGGCCACAACAAGGTGGCGTGTAAATGCAATGCGCATAAGGCCCGCGGCGGCGGCGCATGTGCCTGAAGCGAGTGCATTGCGCACTCCGGTCACCCCTCAAAGCAACTGCGGTGCAGCGAGCGGGGTTCCGTGGGGATGCAGCTGCGGCGCAAACCCCGACAACGTGTGCGTTGCGCCTAGGACCCGCGCGCGGCGGCGCAGGTGCCTGAAGCGAGTGCATTGCGCGCTCCGGTCACCCCTCAAAGCAACTGCGGTGCAGTGAGAGGGTTCCCGCGGGGATGCAACTGCGGTGCAAACCCCGACACTTATGCGTTGCGCATAAGGCCCGCACGCGGCGGCGCATGTGCTTGAAGCGAGTGCATTGCGCACTCCGGTCACCCCTCAAAAAAAACACTGCGGCGCAGTGCGCGGGTTTCCGTGGGGATGCAACTGCGGTGCAAGCCCCGACACCGTATGCATTGCGCATAAGGCCCGCGCGCGGCGGTGCATGTGTCCGGGTCGCGCGCATTGCGCACTCTGGCCACCCCTCAAAGCAACTGCGGCGCAGTGAACGGGTTTTTGCGGGGACGCATCAGCGGTGCAGACCCATAAAGGAAACGGAAACTGTGCAAACGGCAGCGGTCACCTGACTAAGCTCCACACGATGCGTTGCCCGCTGCAGGGAAGCCGGAAAGCGGCTTGCAAGGAAAGCGCGAAACAGCTGCGGCGCCGTATAAAGGGAGTGGTCTGGCAGTGCATCACCATGCGTCTCATCGGCGTGCATTGAGGTGCTATCTGTAAATGAAAATGAGGCAGTCACACGTTGCCCTGTTATAGCGCTGTTTGAGGCAATCTGGAAAGGTGCCAATGCATGCCTGGTGCTGAGTGTATCTGAGGTGCAGATCAAGCAGGCAAAAGAACCAGGCATAGTTGTGCTCTTGCGGTGCGCGCCACACCAAGGGCATTCTGACTATCTTCGTTCACCAGCACGGGTGCAAGGCGAGTGAGTCAGGCATGCGTCACCCGGTGCGCCTGGGGCGGCGGGTGCGAAGGGCCTCCTGTTCAGATGCACTGCTGGAGGAGTCACAAAGTAAATCGGGCAATGCGGCCATGCCACGTATATACCACCGCAAGTCTGCGTGCGCCCACCACTCGGCGGCTTGTAGCGATGCTCGCTCGCCGATATTCAGGAAAGGCCACAAGGCTTCGGCCGCTGCGGGCGTGAGAAAATAAGTGCTCCCCCAAAGCGGCTGCGGCATCGATGCTGGGGATGCCGGCGGCGTGTCGTCAGGCACGCTAGGTGGCTTGAAGCAGAAAACGGCAACGCGTCCAAAGATTCGATCAAGATTAAAACATAAGGGAAAATAAAACCCTAAACGAGGTCCTGGACAACGGAGAGAGGTAACGGAAGGCACGCGCGTCACCGCAGGCGGCTGGCCCCCGCTCTGACGCCCTACGTGCAAGTGGCAGACCTGGCCGTGAACACGGCAGCATCCGGCAACAACGCAGCTGCCATCCAGTCCCTGGACGACCGCGAGCCCTGGCCACCACGGACGGGCAGGTGCGCACGGGAGCAGCGGACCTGAAGCTGTCGAGCTACAGCACCACGGCAGCCATGAACAGCTCCATCGCCTCGGGCAACAACGCCGCGCTGGCCACGGTGGCTGCCAACTACGGCCTCAAGACGGTGGTGGACCAGCACTTCCTTGACACTGCTGCGAGGATCACGCCGCTAGCCCTCGAGGCCAAGGCCGACACGACGCTGCTGGCCTTGTACGCCACGAACGCCACGCTCTCAGCCAGCAAGACCACGCTCCAGAGCGCCCCCGACGCAACCCTCGCGGATCTCTCTGCTGCGCTGGCCAACGGCGGCAACACGCTGAGCATCACGGGCGGCCGACTGCTCCTCCATTGCAGCGGCGGACGCGGCCCTCGCAGCTGCGCTGCTGGCCTAGCACACCTCGGCGCAAGTGGGCGCGCTGTTGTCGACCACGGCTGCGCTGCTGGCCTACTACACCTTGACGCCAGTGCTGTTGGCCGCTACCGGACGGCAAGCGCGCAGGACACACAGACACAGCAGCCATTGCGGGCGCGCTGCGTACCGCTCGCTGCCGAGCGCAACGGCCCCAAGCCTTGCCGCCGCCCTGCTCAGCTACTACACCATCGCGCAGGTGGACGGCCTCGTAGTCGGCAAGCTGTAGACTAGGCATGAAGTGTATCGCCAGAGAAGTCCTTCTGCATTTGTCATTCACACTCCCACCCTGCATCGTGGGAGGGCTTCCAAAACGCGACGGGGCCTTCCTGTGGTACCACACTCAATTTTTGATTGAGAAGGCGCTGACAGAGGAGTCCCCGTTATACGGGTGTGTTACAGACTTGCAGAAATTCTTTAATGGCATTCCGCGCGTGATGTTGAGGACACTGATGATCCGTTTTGGATTGCCGACCACTTTCGTTGACAGTTGGATTGACTTGCTTAACCACTTGAAACGATCTGTTGTGATTCAAGGCGACCACAGCCTCCCCAGGAAGGCCACGTGTGGGGTTCCGGAAGGAGATCCGATTAGTGTTGCGGCGGCAGTCATGATCGGAGCACAGTTGCATTGGGCGATCACCAGAGATGCAACCGCGCAACCTTTGATTTACATAGACAATATCGAGATCATCACTAAGACAGAGACTGACATGGACATTGCTGCTGAAATCGCTCCGGACTTCTTCTATCAGTGGGGTTTTCGTTTGGACCAGGATAAATCTTGGTCGTGGAGCACGACCCCGGAAAGACACCTCCAACACCAACCAACCTTTAAATCAAAGCGATCCGCGGTAAATCTAGGATGTGCCATCAACTATAAAAAATCCCTTTGCCATGGCGAGTACAAACTGAGACTAGAGGAAGGGCTGAGACGCACAAAAATTCTGCATCCCTCCCACTGCCACAGGAGGCGCGCATGGAAGCGGTCTCATCAGGACCCTATGCAACGGCCTTTTATGGCAGTGAAGGTCACTATGTAGGGGAACGGCCGATCGCTAATTTGAGACGAGCAGTCGCGTCCAGAATAGCAAAGCCAAATAAAGGACTATGTCCGAAAATTGCCCTGCTCGCCTACCGAGGTGGTAGACTTGATCCTCGGATTGAGTTGATAATCCGTGCCTGCCGCATGGCCGATATTGCTGCTGCAACGAGGGCCTCCAGCACTTGTATCGTGGACGAGTTTTGTCCTTGGAGCACTTTCAGTCCGCGGTTTTGATGCCACAAATGGCAATGTCGCAAACTCACCTTACCCGAATCGGACTGGAGCGTTGCAAGCTGAAGGTCACGTTCCAATTCCCAAGCCGCCAAGCACCAAGTAATGGCGAGACAAAGCCAGCTTTCGTGTCAGTGCGGCCATGGGTGCTCAAACCTTTTGGCGTTCTGAGTATCCGTTCTACGACACACGGTGCATCACGCACTCCACACAGATCAGTCAAGTATCAAAGGACAGCTTCTCCATTGAAATGTGTCTTTCTTTTCGGTGACCTCCAAAATGGGCGGTTTTCCTTTTGGTTTCTCTACACATGCCGGGTGCCCTCAAGAACGGCACACCCATCTTAACTAAACCTTCACTCACGTCACGCTCCAGGCCCTGCCAGGCGAGAGAAAAGGTGTCGGCGCCATGGAAAGACGTCGCGACTGGCTGGGGCAGCCGCTGTATCTGGGAGCTGCCGTGTGTGGTGCCGCGTGCGCGGCTTTTCTCGCGAGGCGGGACTGATAGGCACGGCCAGGATGGTCGCGTCTTTCTTTGTGTTTGTGATTGTGTTTGTCTCTGTCTCTGTCTCTCTCTCCCTCCCAGTCAGGGGGTGCTGAAATATGTATATGTATATATATAGCTGTTTCACTTTATGATACATGACATCCTATTTGGATGCTTCTAGGGGACAAAAAGGAGCCCTGTGGGTATATCTCTCGCTTTCTCACAGATGGGCATGCTATCTCGCTTTCACCCGGGCGTCTCGCAAAATTGCGGACCTCGAAGTCTTCCAAAAGAAACGGTGGTTTTCCTGTTTGCTTACCCCCGAAGGTTCAGGGTTCATTGAGAGAGTGGTACCAAACCAAACGTTACCCTTCAAGCAGAATTCATCATGTGCGGCTGTGACCCACTTTGGCAACACGCAAAGCAATCACACACACACACAAACACATGCACACCCATCGACTTCCGCCAGGCACCTCCAGCGGGTGTTCCGTGCTCGCAGGGAGCTGCAGGCGGGGACTTGGACTCAGCGGCATGCACGCTTGGCATTGCTGTGACCCCTGGCCCACCCCGCTCATCAATCGCACGTGGGAAGCTAGAGGGTATTCTTTGTGACCTCTTGGCAAGGGAATCATCTGGGGTGCGCTGCAGATTCACAAGGCGTCGGACAGAAGAAAGCTGGTATTTGTCGAAGCGCCTTCGGGACCCTTTCAGAAGCTCAAAGGTGGAGGGCCATTTCGAGGGGATCCTTCCCACACAGCCCAGCCAATGTGGACGGGGCTCCCCTAACATTCATCCAACATCGCCAGTGCATCCCAAAGTCTATGGCCCAGTGACACTGTTCTTTTTGTTGGAAGCTTCGTGATTTTGACCGGCTCATGCGAGACCTCGGGAGGAACCCAAGATGCCTCAAGCTTTCTTGGACTGTCACGGCTTATCGAGTTCTCGATTGCTCCCTTGGAGCTACACAAGTGGCCAGTGTCACCAGCGACCCCTTGGAGGTGAGCCCTGCCTAGCCTGGTCCAAGCTGCATATCCTGAGCAAAAGTCCATTCCACCTCTATTTTTTGAGCAAGTTGGGTACAGGCGTGTTGAGTCAGTTCCTAAGTCGGCAAAAGCAGAGTGTCTGAGCTTTTGGCTGGAGGTCGTGGCCAGCCGACGCGAACCGTCGGCCAGGCGCTGGTGGCGCAGGTGGCGGGCTGCGAGGCGCGGGTGGTGGTCACGGGGGCCAGCTGCGGCGTGGGGCTGGAGCTGTCGCGGCAGCTGCTGCGCGCCTCGGATCGAAGCTTTGGAACCTTGGTGCATCTCCTTTGAAACTTCAGGAAAAAGGGGGGGCGCATTTTGAGACATGGAGTTGGGCCTGAACAAACCGTGGGAACCCCTTGCTAGAACATTTGGGTTAGCATTCTCATCCGAGTATCCCAACCTTTCATAGAACATTTGGGAACACTTTTTTCCTCCGATTCCCTCCCCGTGTTTTTCCCCAACAGCTGAAAGCTTTGGGGTCTCAGCCCAGATAGGCTCCGGGGTGGTCCGGGGCAGCCCTGAGGCAAGGTTTCACGAGGGTTCCACGAGGGTTCCACCATAGTTCCACCAGGTTCTGCAAGGGCTGCGGGGTGGTTTGGGGAAAGGTTCCACGAGGGTTCCACCAGGGTTCCACCAGGTTCTACGAGGGCTGCGGGGTGGTCCGGGGTGGTTTGAGGTAAGGTTCCACGAGGGTTCCACCAGGCTGCGGGGTGGTCCGCATTGGTTTGAGGTAAGGTTCTACGAGGGTTCCACCAGGTTCTGCGAGAGCTGCGGGATGGTCCGGGGTGGTTTGAGGTTCCACCAGCGTTCCACCAGGTTCTGCGAGGGCTGCGGGGTGGTCCGGGGTGGTTTGAGGTAAAGTTCCAGGAGGGTTCCACCAGGGTTCCACCAGGTTCCACGAGGGTTCCACCAGATTTCCACCAGGTTCTGCAAAGGCTGCGGGGTGGTCCGGGGTGGTTTGAGGTAAGGAGGGCTGCGGTGTGGGCTGGGGTGGTTTGAGGCAAGGTTCCACGAGGGTTCCACCAGGGTTCCACCAGGTTCTGCGAGGGCTGCGGGTCCACCCAGCGTTCCACCAGTGTTCCACCAGGTTCTACGTAAGGTTCCACGAGGGTTCGACCAGGTTGAGGTAATTCCGCCAGGGTTCCATCAGGTTCAAGGGCTACGGGTAGTCGGGGTAGTCGGGGTGGTTCCATGAGGGTCGACCACGGTTCCACCACATTCTGCGGGGTAAGGTTTCATGAGGGTTCTACCAGGTTCTAGTGAGGCTGTGGCTGAGGTAAGGGTTTGACAGCAGTTCCGCAAGAATTCAACAAGGGTCAGAAGGCTCCACAACGCTCCACAAGTTCCACAAATGTTCTGCAAGGAAGCAACGAATCCTCGTGGAGCGCTTTAGACTTTTATTCCGTAGCCCTCACAGCCTCGTGGAACCCTTGGAACCCAAAGCCTGCCAAGTGTGCTGAAAACCATTGATTTCGGTTTTGCTTAGTGTTCCGCCCATGAGCAAAGGGATCTTCTGAGCCCTCAATTTACTGCTCCGATGACTCTTCAGACGGTGGGCGCACGACACATTGCACCAGGTTCTGCAAAAGCTATGGGGAAAGGTTCCAACAAAGTTTCACGCTGGGTTTCACGAGGGTTGCACGAGAACGGTTTGCGAGGTTCACCGGGCCCAGTCGGGCAGGTCGGGGCCCGATTGCACCGTCGGGGCCCGATCGGGCCCCGATTGCGCCGTCGGGCCCTCGGGCCCCATCAACTACCAAGCCGGCATCGCCTAGTTTTGCTAGATACACTTGTAAGGCGCGCATCCTAATAATATGGGTGGCTGGGGTGGTGGGAGCCCGCTTGCGCCACGGGACCATCGGGCCCCAATCGGGGCCCGATTGCACTGTCGGGCCCGCTCGGGCCCCGATTGCACCGTCGGGCCCCGATTGCACAGTCGGGCCCCGCTCGGGCCCCGATTTCGCCATCGGGCCCCGCGCCGTTGGGCCCCGCTCGGGCCCCGATTGCGCCACTCCGATTGCGCCGTCGGGCCCCGATCGGGCCCCGATTGTGCGTCGGGCCCCAGTCGTCGGGTACTGATCAGGGCGCGATTGCGCTGTCACTCTTGGCATTGCTTCACAAAGTTACAAGGCGGCACCCTCAGCAAAACCGGCGGTGAGGTGGGTCCCGTGGCGGGTGTGGTGCTGTTGGGTATCGCCTGAGCTTATTTTTCTGGTTTGGGGGAGGCGGGGTGGGGAATCTTGCTGGCAATTCATTTGGCCATGCGGTCTGGCACAGTGCAATAGTGCTGACAGGCACAGATGCATCCCTACACCTCTCACGGCCTTATAGGCCACACCATTTAAGGCGCCATCAAAGCCTTTTCCTGAAACTTTTCCCAAAAAGGGACTTTAGATGTGTTTGGGTGGGGTGGGGTGAGGGAACAGCTGCCTTTTTTACGAGAAGGAAGCCAACCGAGGCCATCCTTCGGTCTCTCTGCTGGTGGGCTGCCGGGACCGCCACAAGGCCGAGGCCCTCTTCCGCCGCTATCCGCGAGCCAAGGCGGGCGTGGATGATTTAACACCTGCTGGTGCTCAGTAGGGAATGTGGGAATTACCCCCTTATCACTGAAGCCGGCTGCGGCCGCCTTCCTAATTCTTGACGTGGTTCTGGGTCGACCATTTGAGTATCGGGTTTTGATTATCACTCACTTGTTGTTTCCTTCAATGGAATTTCTGGGTTGGGCTTTCCCAACATACGTAAGCCTTGGCAAAGGATGCAAGCTTCATTTACCAAGGGTTTCTTTGGAAAACAAAACACTCTTCACTTATGAGCCACACCCAAAACGTATTGTTTCGGGTAGATGAAGGTTAGGGTATGTAAAGGCAATGAAGGAGTCCTTGCCGTGACTACTTCTCCGACAGGTTTTGAAGTGTGGCTCGGGCCTCAATGTGTCTAATTCACTGAGACGCCCAAAGTTCCCAGTTTGATTGCGCCCTCATCTGCCTTTCTTGTCAACCTGTCGCGTTTTCCGGAGAGGTGGATTTTGAGGCTAGGTTCCCGCTTCGGGAGTTGAACGAAACCAAAGTGAAACCACCGTTCTGCAAGGGGACTTGCTGGGCCCTCCCATGTAGGCCCATGTACTCAACTTGCATGAAGCAGCACTACAGAACAGAGACGCAACAGGTAGGATCGAGCACCGAAAACACCGTTTTCCGCGTGACAACATGCCAGGAACCTGCAGGGGTGCTCATGTCAAGACCGAGCTCATGAAGCCAAGTGGAACGGTTTCATGTTGGGGTTCTGTTTGGACTTGGGTTTCGACCCTCAAAATAGACAGCCCTCAAGCAAAACAGAACCCCCGTTTTTGGAGGGTACACCCAACCCCCAAAAGGTGCACCGACTGGACCTCCTGGACCCAGACTCCATCCAGGCATTCGCAGATGAGGCCCCGGGAAAATGGGAAGTTCCTCTTTGTGTGCGCTAACGCTAGGGTGATATTGTAAACACCAAAAAGGGCCGAAATCAAAACATCACCAATCATCTTTCCGAAATCAAAACATCGCCAATGTTCTTTCAGAGGTTCGGAGTTACGGAAGTCGACCAATCTCAAGGGTATAAGATTGGGTTGGCTTCACGCAAGGTTGTCTCCGGAGACCAATTTTCTACCCTTCCGGCAAGGGACTCTTGAGAGCAAATGGTTTAGGCTTTCGATGTGTGTTAACCAGACCACTGCAGCTTTCAATGTGTTGCGCACTTGATAAGCAGAGCTTGGCGGACCAAAGGAAGTGAGTTGGATTCACTGAAACGGGCTTCAACCCTGCTTAACCAGGGAGTCATGAATTCTGGGCTTGTCACTGTCCTTCACCCACCGCTGGGGCGCCTTCGAGCTTTTTGGCCTTCAGAGTGGCCGATTCAAAGGACCCCCCCCTCTTCCGTTGTGGGAGTGCCGTTGTTTTTGGGAGTGCCCATTTTTGGGTTGGTTTTCAGGGAGTCCAAAAGGAAGACCCATGTGGCTGTGGGTTAACACCCTCTACCCTTGGTGAACATCAAAATAGAAAGTACATTGTTCATCCGCCCCATGGAGGCATAGGTTGTGACCCATGGCCATGTCAACGTGCAGGGAGCCCCACAGAAAAAAACACGCGCGGTCCATCCCGACTCAGGCTCATGCATTCCTTGTGGGCGGAGAGACCGGCCTCCGGATGCCTCTTCCCCAGATCTGTGCGAAACCTCCTGAGAAGCGTGGCCACTGCCACCCAACACCTCCCCCAAAAAAGGCGCTTGGTGGCACTCTACAGCATGGGAAAGAAGGTTTTTCGTCCATCTTTACAAGGGCAGCAACACATGTTTTGCATTTTTTGCCCAACTTGCCTCGAACATCACAGTGCCGAATTTCTGGCGCAGGGAACAGGGCGCTTGCTTAAACCGGCTCAATATCGATTGGAGACCAACAGGCCATGTGTAGCTGTAGTGTTTCTTTGAGGGCATTTTTTGGTCGTACCTTTGTGCAAGCAAATGGTGGGTTCTGGAGGGCTTGCAGAACGGAAGCCATTTGAGAGGGGTGCCAAATTTATCACACGGTCACCTTCAAAATGAGTCTTTGGGTTGATAATTGTGAACAAGCGCATCAGCCCAGGTTGGTGAACAATGCCGGCGTCATGCGCCCGCCGAAGACCAAAGGCGCGATCCAACCGCACGGCGGTGCAATGATCAGCCATTTCTTGAAGCTCATTCACCAGTTGCCTTCGCGGCAAAAATGCCATGGTCAAACGACCATGTGAGCGGGCTCGGTAGGGATGGTGGGTGGAAATCAATCGCAAGGAGCAAACAGCGCCTTGTGGCTTGTTCTGCATCAAAGCAGGTGGGTGCTCGACTTTTTTCCAGGGCACCCTAGGCCCAAGGTTTCCGGAGCACCCCAAAGATGCGGAATCGAGACCTCCCGGTTTGAGGCAGCATAGGCCCCTTGTTCTTACCCCTTAGGCGCTTGGGTATATTCCAAAACCGGTTTTGGGGGGACGCAGCAAGCCTTAAACATAGTCGTCCCACAAAGGGTAGGGAGGGGATATGGTATGAACAACATTGCGCAGCCTGAAAAGGAGATTCGATGTCTTCTTCGGGGTCATGTTGACCTGCAAGGTGCATTGATCCGGGGCCGAAAAGGTGTGATCGTGTTCATTCCCCGCGAAATGACCGCAGAGAAATATCACGTTTCGGGCCTTTCAGGAAGCCCACCTTAGGGCAAGACCCACCGGACTTTGGACATTCATTTCCAATTATGGGTTTGGGGGGGTGGTCCCTGGCTCGTACAGTATGTACCCCTCGCTCGTGCAGAACCCCAGCTTTCAAGTGTCCACCCGTAGCTCCAGGGGGCGATGCCACTTGGCAAACCAACTTCCTGGGGCCTTTTCTCCTCACCGAGCTCCTGAACCGCTTCCGCAAGGAGCAGCACCGGGACCCGGTGAGGCGGGAAAGGGAAAAATGGGGAATCAACCCCTACTCAATGAATACACCTAGTTATAAACTTGGTTTTGTCCCCAAAAAATGAAATGAGAAAACGACTCGGGTTTTCCTCTGGGTTTCATCAAGTCCTTTACACCACCACTAGAGAATGGAGATCCCCCAAGAATGGGCAGTTTCCCTCACGGTTTCCCTCCAAACCAAGCCGAATCCGATCTTCAACTGGGCGGAGTGATTGGGGACCACTCCTGTTTTTGGCTCCGAAACGGGGGACGAAACAGAAGTCTTTTGTTCCGTGACTCGCCTTCGATCGGGAGAAATCCAGCAGGCCGGGAACCAAATCAATTTTGGGACAAGCCCAGTTTTAGGTGACTAAGTTTGTATCCTATTGGCACTTCTCATGTATTTACCACTCAATTCTCCAACAGACTTGTGAAAAAAACCCACCAGATTTTGGTCTCCCATGTTCACTTCTCATGTATTTTAGTACCACCACCGACTTGAGGTTTAGTTTTTTCCCCATCCCATGGGGCCGCCAGGGTAGTGCACGTGTCCAGCCGCCTGGAGAAGCGTTCCACGCTGGACTTCGAGCTCCTGGAGTCCGTGGCCAAGGGCGAGGCGCGGCGGCGCGGCGTCGCGAGAGTCGCGAGGCGGGGGAGTCGGGGGGGCGGCAAGTGGATGGCGGGCGCGTTGGCGCAGCGGAGCTCTGTCTTTGTGGAGGTGGTACCGCTTCTTTGGTTGGCAAGGGAAGCCAAGGGGAAACTGCCGATTTTTTTTTGGGGGGTCACCTAAAACGGAAAGACCCAGATCTGCCACATCAGGCAAGCCTTATGGATTGGATTGGTGGTTTGGATTGGTGGCGTGGATTTGGATTTGAACTCTTTGTTCTTCTTGAGGGTAAATGGGAAACCACCTCCCCAACCTTGAAACCATCAAACTAAATCACCGATTTGGAAGCTGATGACTCCAGTTACCAAGTGGATCTAAGTGGGAATCAGTAAGGGCCAATCCCAGCCAGAAATAGCTGCGGCCGCCTTCTTAATTCTTTACATGGTTCTGGGTTCACCATTTTTGTACCGGGTTTTGATTGTGGCTCAAATGGAGGCTTGCCAATCGGCGTGTGTCCAATTCCTCCGAACCTCTGATGTATTTTCCCCGGGAGATGGGCCGCAGAGCGGATGGCCAAACGGGCCATTTCCATGCACCGGCCCGTTTCCCCGAACTGGCGATCGTTCCAATGGACACCACCAGACAATTGCAGCTTTTTCTGGAACATCTGGGCTGAAGGGTTTGCATGTTTTAGAGGTCCCCTTTTCAGGCCTCAAGGGACACCAAAAGGAAAGCAACCATTTTGTAGGCTTGTAGGCTCATTCCCTTTTTTTTTCACTCATGATTATTGACCACTATTTTGGCAAGTCTGACCCAGTGCTTCTAGTTACCACAGGTAGCCAGGCGAAACAAGCATGTAAATCCTGCAAGACCCTTTAAGAAGCAGTGGTTGTCTATTAATAGTAAATGGAAGCAGACAAACAAGCAATCAAACAAACAAAGACACAAAGAAATACAGAAAGAAAGAAAGAACTACAGAAAGAAAGAAAGAAAGAAGGAAGAAAGAAAGAAAGAAAGAAAGAAAGAAAGAAAGAAAGAAAGAACGAACGAAGGAAGGAAGGAAGGAAGGAAGGAAAGAAAGAAAGAAAGAAAGAAGGAAAGAAAGAAAGAAAGCAAGAAAGAAAGAAAGAAAGAACGCAAGAAAGAAAGAAAGAAAGAAAGAAAGAAAGAAAGAAAGAAAGAAAGAAAGAAAGAAAGAAAGACAGAAAGAAAGAAAGAAAGAAAGAAAGAAAGAAAGAAAGAACGAAATAAGGAAAAATAAAGAAACATAACGAAAGAACGAAAGAACGAAAGGAAGGAAGGAAGGAAGGAAGGAAGGAAGAAAGCAAGAAAGAAAGAAATAAAGGAAGAAAGAGAAGCAAATTGAAAGGAAGAAGGAGAGAAACACATATAATTAAATCAACATGAACAAAGTAAAGATAGAACAACATAAGGAAAGAAATAAAGACTTAATATGGAATAAAGGAAGACATACATACAGAAGCACATAAATAAAGACATAACGACAGAAAGAAAAAAAAACACACACACACAGAGAGAAGTATTTGAATAAATAAATAGAATAAAGGGAAATAATTAATGAAAGAACTAATTAAATACATAAAGACAAGGAAATAAAAGAAAATAAAGAAATAAATAATGAAAGAAAGAAAAGAAAAGAACATAAAAGAAGAGAACAGACAAGAAACACAAAGAGAAAGAAAGACAGAACGAAAGAAAGAAAGAAAGACATGAGATAAGCACACTTGATCATAATAGTTTTTCACCAAGGCATGCTTAGGAAGATGACAGGAGGGTAGGTGAACCCGCAGTTTTCTAGTGCTTTTTGAGAAGACAAAGGTGGGAATGAGGGGTGGACGAAGGCCATGACAAATCAACTCCATTCACACCAGAGAAGTGAGGTTTGATGCTGCCACGTAGCATGGGGACTGCAACATGAAAGCATGCAGCTGGGGTGGATCTGCCAAATCTTGAGCATAGCAGGCTTTTCCATACGGAAGGCCGGTGCTGCTTTTCTGCACGGGGAAGTATTCAGGGTCAATTCATCGTAGCAACCCCAGTTTATCCCGTTTCACCTTGGCGCCAATTCCGCCCCCTGAAAAATTTGCGGACCAGGGAGTTCCAGTTGTTCCATGTTCTTTGCGGCATCCGTAGCACCAGTTCCCAGGGGCTTCATGGGCGAGATAGCTTGGGGACCCCCTCGCGAAGCCAGGTGGGCGAGAACGCGTATGCGGACTCCAAGCGCGCGCTGATGCTCTGGACTGGGCAGATCAAATGGCCCATGAAACCCCGCAGCGTCTCCCGCGTAGACCTAAACCAAAATTTCGGCCGGCTTCGCCGACCGGCCGGCCGTTCGTTTTTTTTTTTTTTTGCATTGAGACCATCTGCGAAGGGGTGAGTCTCTGGTTGTCACTTCCATTGTTGGCAAGACCAAGACATGCAGGGACGATTGTGCGGTAGCCTTTTCGCGGTTGTTTCCAATGGCACATAAAAGGGGATGTAATCTTTGGATCAATTTTGAGACACGCCGACATGGACCATGAGAGTACACACACACACACAACAAACTCTGAAGTGGATCTGCTTGCAACCAAACGTGGAAATGCTTCTTTTTATTGCCAACAATAATGAACGCTACTTGTGTTCCAACTCTTCGAGTTAGTTTCAATACACCTTTTGCGTGATTGCACGGCTACCGCAACAACACCAAAAGCCGTTGGGTCATGTGTACAAACATGGTGCGCTGTGGTTTCATTGGTGACCCCGCTGCGACAAACCCAAAAGGTTGTGTGTATTAGCATTTCGGGTGGGTGGTTTCACTCGTGCCCCACCTTTTTTTCCTTGAAGCCCTTGGGTTGGTGGTTTCACGCTTAACGAAGCACCAGGACTCAAAGCATACAATGCACGTTAATAGACATTCCAGTTCGTTCGCTTTTGTTTTTGTTGGTTTCTTGGGGGCAGTCCATCGGATCTTTCAGGACCTCGGTGCGCGCCCAGAGCCTCGCGTTCAAGGGAGGCCGACAGCGGTTGCCAGTTGGATGATCCTAGGAATGGATCGTTGGTTTGTTGCTTGGTTGGGCGTCCGGTGAGTCGGTTGCTTGCTTGGCATGTTTGGGGCGGTGTCTTGGGTCGCGCGTTTGTTCAACTTGTCATATGGAGCTCACATATCGGATCAGGGTGTTTCTCAAAATGGAATCCCTCAAGTTGGTTGGTTTCCTTTTACTGCCAAGAAGGGACCGCCATCCTTTTCCAAACCGACAAGAAACCGCTTTGAGGGTAATGTTTAGGGGAGGAGTGTACCCTTTTTTGGGGTGGCTTCCAAGCAACACCGAACACCTTTTTGTTTTTTTTGTTTTCTGGGGGGGGGGGGAGGGCGGTCCAATTCCATCTTTTGCCCCACGCCTAATCACCCTGCACCGCGCACCGCCGGCTCTCGGAGGCCTCTTTTGTTTCGCCGCCACTCCGGGCATGGTGGACACCGAGCTGAGCAGGCGTCGATCGATCGTTGAGCTCGTGGGTTTCCCATATCCGGTGCAAAAGAGGGCGTGGTTTCCCGAAGTTTGTTTGGGGGGAAGCTTTGGAAGGAGGATTGGCCCTTCCAAAGTTTTACGGAGTTCAGCTTGTGGTTTCGAACGTCTTTTGGTGGGTTTTGATGGGAAATCGAACGGACACCGTTTCCATTTTGGGATCCCCTCAGTACTAGGGAATATCTTCGGGACATGGGAACGAATGCATGCCGGGCCGCCTGACTGACGGGTCAGGTGGCCAAGTTGACGGATCGCCCACGATTTTGAACCCACCCCCCCATTTTCACAATCCCCCCAGACGTGCTTTGCTGCGTACAACTGTTTTGAGCGTGTCGTATTTGGCAGTTTGGGGTGCCCGCCTCTATCTTGCTTATGGACTTCTTTTGGTGCTGCTATGGCGCCTCCAAGCTTATTTTCGCTCGCGTCGTGACAAACATCTGCCTCGTGGCGGCGGGATTCAGCAGCACAAACGTGTTGGGCTTGAGGATGTATCACCGAGAGCACGAGGTGTGAAAAGGGATTTTGTGTGGGCACTGGCTCATTTTGCACCTACACTTAGTAACTTGTGGGGGGGGTCTAGGTGGGTGTCCATCTCTGGATGAGCTGACGAGCGCAAGACAAGCCTTCAGACAAACATCGGCACACGCTGCAACTTGTTTGGAAGGGGGGTCATTGAATAACTCTCTTCTTGCGATTAGCACTTGTGTTAAAAGTAACAACTTTGCACCTTCAGCCTGTGCCCGCGACGTATGTCATGACACTCGACAGTGTTGCATACCGCATGCCATTTTGGCCTTTTTTTTCCTCTCCCACCCACCCTTCCCCCTTTCACCCATACCTCAAGTACCTACTTAGTCAACGAAGTCTGCATCAAACGGAGTTAGGGCGGGGAGAACGTCCACTCCCTTTTGATGCTTTACTGTTCATTGTTGGGTTCGCGACCTTTGGATTTGCATACCTTTTTAGGTGTACTTCAGTTCGAGTCAGTGATGTCTGAGAGACACCGACATCGACTCCAGAGATTCAGCAGATCGACCAACAGGTAGGATCCCACTTATCAGAGGACGTGTGGTGGAAAAGTGAACCGCTGCTGGTTGTAGTTGACCTTTCTGGAGCGATGCGTTATTGAACCTTGAAACGGTGAAACTGTTGGGATTGGATGGATTTACCCGAGTCCCTTGATAAAAGCAACGGCGGAAGGTGAGGGCCCCTTGCGCGAGCTTCTGAGCCAGGTATTCCATGAGTCCTTGGCTGTGGCCTCTGACCAAGCCGCTGCGCCCCTTGGACCAAACCCCGGCCCATGGGCACCCATGTTTGCGTGAAATCAGCAAAATGGCGAGCCTTTGGTGGACATCAGTGGGGATTCATGTCGGCTTCCTGGAACCTCCGTCCTTTTTGCATTGGTTCGTGGTGGTTTGAGGCAGGTTGAGGAGAAGTTGTGTTGGTAAAGAATTAAAGTACCACTCCTTGTTGTGTTGTTTGAGGAGAAGTTGTGTTGGTCGAAATGGGAGAACACTGATTGAAATAGTGGAAGGGGGCGGGCCTCTCTTCTGTTTCGGAGTTTCTCAATTGTGGGACCCACACAATAAGGTTGGTGCTTAACAGGAAGCCAAAAGGAGCCCGTTGTCATTGTAGGAGACTGCAGGGGGAGAGCCCGGCCCAGGCATGGTGCTGCTGCGGCATGTGTCTGAGGGCGCTTTGGCGGTGGCGGGGGGCGCTTTGAAGCCCCAGGCGCCTTCGGAATTCGGGCGAGCGGGAAACGCACGGAATTCGGCCACCCCAACCTGGGAACTCAGCCCATTCTGAACCCAGTTTTTTTCAGAAAGCCACCCAAAACCCTGAAAATCCATGGCTGGTTCTTGAGTTTCTTTTTCCACATTTGGAACCAGCCTTGTGCCTTGAGGCCACGAACTGCTTCGGGCGCTACATGGATGGCGAGGCACGCCCTGGTGGCGTTTCGGGCGCTTGGCGCTTTTTGTTTGGCCCTCGGTCTGCTTCTTTCTGGTGCTCAGCAGAGAATGAGGGATTGACCCTTATATGTAGTATATATATCATCCCTTATGGTTTCCTTTCAGGGGACCCTGGGTTCATTCCCTCATTCCCTACTGAGCACAAGCAAGGTTTGTCAAGGGTTTGTTGGATTTCAGGGAGACTTCGAGGCGAGTTTGCATCGGTTTCCTGGTGAAGCTACTGGGTTGTCCAGGTCAAAGCCTTCGAATGCTCACGGATCGCTGTTGATCGAGAGATCTGGAAATCCGCTCTTGCCGCAAAGGCTGCTCAACTCCAAGCATGAGAGTCCTTGGATGGAGCCAAATTTTCTTGAAAGCACCCCACTCCTCTGAAAGAAGTCCAGGATGTCTTGGCTAATGTGGGCATCCGGCGGCATGCACCACCCGCGGTGACAAAGCACGCTGTCCATCGCTAGGTTCAGCTGGAAGACCTGGTCATTGAGCGAATGGGTTGCGGGCCCAGGACTGAACCTAGAGACCTTGTCTTGTTTCAAGGACGTACGCTTGCTTTTGTGCTCGGCGAGCCTGCTACATCTATTTTGATTTTGCGATTGGGTTGGGTTAGTGGGTTGGAGGTTGGATACCTCCCCATTTGGCTTTAAGAGGAATTGGAAGGTTCAAATCCTTGCATCCATGTAAGCCGCCAATGCAGGGGTCGAGGTTAAATGGAAACCAACCAGCAAACCAGACATATGTTGGGGCCCACTGTTTAGGAGAACATCCTGTAGGGTTGCAAGTGAAGGCCCCTTTAAGAGGAAAGTGGCTGTTTGAGAGCCCAAGGGAGCCATCCCCTACGGCAGGGCTCTGACTCACGCATTCGGACTCCCAACAAATCTCGTGCTTGTCTTTGATTCTGGATTCGCCCTTGTGTCAGGTATCCCTGAGTTGGTGGTTTGCATTGGTGGTTTGGGGGAAGGGAACCCCAGGTCCTTTTCGGGCAAAGCAGCGGCCCAGGAGCACCACCGGACAGCAAACCCCTCTTTCCGAGTCCCAGAGTTCGCGGTGTTTTCTTGCAACCGGGTCACCTGTTGGACCACCAGCCCGAAGTTTTGGCGCCAAAAAGCCACGGGCCGAGCCAGTCTCCAAGACTCGAGCTGGAGGTGAGAAGCCGCTGGCGGCGGCGCTGGTGAAGTGGGCCACGCAGGCCTCCGCGCTGGAGCAGCGGGCCGCGGGCTACGAGCGGTGAGCGGAGAAAAAGGCTTGCTTGGGTTGGGGTTCGAGGGGAGTGGGTTGAGACTTTAGGGAAGTTTGGGGTCGAGTTTTTGCGAGCTTGTGTGGGGTATTGGTTTCTTAGGGCTCTTGGGTGCAACATACACTCTAAATGGGGGAGGCGGGAGAATGTGTCAACCCCCAGTTTCTTTAGAAATGGGTGGCTTGTTTTTTGGCGAAGGAAGGGGTAGAGGTGACGATGGTGTTTGCTAAACATCCCCAAAACGGTGCGTTTTACAAATCCGGGGAGGGGAGGAAGGTGGGGGCATCCTCAGCCCGATTTCGGCGATTGGGAGGGTGTTGCAACCAGTTACTTTCGCCAAAGCCACGAGCCGCGAACCCTTTGGGTGTGTGTGTGTGTGTGTGTGTCAAAAGCGGACTTTGGCCGACCACTCTGGCTGGCTCCAAGGCAAAGATACACCCACGCGCATCACAAGAATTCTCGCGCAAGAGATATGAGAAGCTCTCAAGCTGGTGGACCCTTTGTTTCGGACATTTTAGGGACACCAAAAGGACACCAAGCATTGCCGGAGACCCCTGTTTGGAGTTACTTGCCAGATCTTGGAGAGCCTCCAAGTCAACAGATGGGGCATGAGCCTGCTTGCGCTTTGGAAGAATCACACAGCTCGCTTTCCGGGGCCATGGGCTAAACATGGTGTTTTGAAACCATATAGGGACCTTCCAAATGACAAGTTGCATGGTCTGTTTCCGCAAGTGCGTTACATACACATGAACAGACACAGCTGGGTTTGTGTGTAAAGAGGGTCACCCTCAAAATGGGTGGTTTTCTGTTGGTTCCTTCTTTCAGCCAAGCCAACCCAAGCAATACCCTCCAAGAAAAGGCAGGCCCAAAACACGTGGTGCCGTCCAAAAAGACCGCAGAGCCGCACGCACGCCTCGTTTCACCGGCGCAGCGCGCCGGGTTCCCTCGCTTGGCTTCCATGGCCCGCCGCCACGAAGCCGCACCGTGAAGTCGTGGGCAAACATCGCCAAAAGGCAAGTTGGGTATGGGTCAAAGTTGCACCACCCGGAAACCGCTGTGTCTTTTGACTCAATGTTTCTCATCCGGAAACCGCAGGCTTTACTCTCCATGTTTCCATTTGCCAGGGTTCCATTTTCACCTATTTTTGACCCACAGCCATTTGGGTTTGTCCTTGTTTTGAGGATGCCCCTTGTTCGAGGGCGAGTTGGAAGGGCTCGAATCCCTTCTGTGACTTTGCACTTGTTCGATTTGCTTTGTGCCAAACTGAGTTCCAGCAAAAGAGGCCAAGTTCCAGCAAAAGAGGCCAATGAATTCTTTGGTCCCCACGAGGAACGGGCAAAAACGCCTGCGTGTTGGCTTGGGCGGATGTGTTGCCTTTGGAGGTCAGAACGTGTGGATTTGTGTCCGAGGGTTCCACCCTCCCCAGGTATTCCTTTTGCCCTAATTGAGAAAAGGTTGCACACCAAATGACATCAAGAACACTCGAGCTCGACGAAAGAACGCGGGCGTCTACTTTCAAGCACTTGCGGGTTGCCCACTTCCGCGGAAGCCCGGGGCCAAGGAGTTCTGCCTGCGGCCCTGCGGTTGCCAAGGCGCCTGGATGGGATGCCTCCTTGGCCGACCAACCCCGAATTGGCATGGGGTTCCTTGTTGGGGTTCCTCCAAAGCCGCCAGAAAAGGGGGTGTCTCTAAGCAACCCCATAAGAGCAGAAGAAGAAGACACATGCCGGACACAGGCGGATTTCGTTTAGCTCGAGCAGGTGGCAGGAAGCTCGACCTGGCAAACACACAACGCTGGTGTCAGTGGAATGGTGAGGTACCACTTTGAAGATTATCAAACGCCCAGGTCCAACCAGAAAACTGAACCTTTGTGTGTTGGGGATTCCATGAAAATATAGCCAACACACCTGGGTTCAGTAAACCTTGTCTTTTCAGACATCGTCCGCTCGCCTTCAGGCTGCGCCGCTGTGCGACAGAGAGCGGGAAGCCCTGGTCTGTGGATTCACTGGCCACGAAGCGCCAAATTTTGGGCCGGGCATGACTCTGCTGGATGACTTGTGGAGGGAAACGCATCCATGAACCCTGAATTCGTGAGCCAGTGCACGCTCCCCCATGTATTTTTACCTCCTCCCCGTGCCTTCCTGCCCTTTGCTGCCCTGCCTGCCCTGCCTCCCTTCCTCTGCTCTGCCTGCTGCCCTACCTGCCCTACCTGCCCTACCTGCCCTACCTGCCCTACCTGCCCTACCTGCCCTACCTGCCCTACCTGCCCTACCTGCCCTACCTGCCCTACCTGCCCTTCCTGCCCTACCTGCCCTACCTGCCCTACCTGCCCTACCTGCCCTACCTGCCCTACCTGCCCTACCTGCCCTACCTGCTTTGGATTCTTTCAGTGCTGATATGTTGGGGGCCAGTCCCTCCGAATCCGAACCCAATCAGATCCAAAGTGTCACGCATGTCGATTCCAGCCCGATCTAGCCACAACCAAATCCAGCCGACTCCCGTAAAATCCAAGCTCCAAGAGTATACTACAAAAGAAGTCCACATGAACCCAGCTAAATCCAACCAAGTCCAATGCCACTGGTCACGCATTTCAGCCTTGGACCCGGAAAAAAGATCACCTTGTGACGGAGAATGGGTTGGGCTTCCTTTATGTTTTTCCTTTTGTCCAAGACGAGGTTCCTGTTGACGAGCGAGCCACGCGCTTAGGTTATGCGCGCCCGGAGCTGCGGCGAGGCCTTGGCTGGCTTTTGCAAGCCAAAAGGTCAAGGCACTTTTTTGTGCTCAGGGAAGAGTAAACCAAAATGCAAGCCAGGGACTCCAAAAGGGTTGCTTTTTAGGCCTCCCTCAACGCTTTCCTCTTGGGCGTCCAAAAAAGGGGACTTCCCCTTTTCAATGGTAAGGCAAGGCTAAAACCACACTCTTTTGCGGGCCCACGATTTCAAGAGGGGTCTATCCCACTTTGTCGCCTGATTTGTCGAGGGGCAACACGTGTGGCGCCGAGATTTGGTGAGGATGTGGGGTTCTTGTACAACTGGCTTTTGCAACCCGCACTTGAGTGTTTGGCATTTTCAAATTGGTGATTTTCCTCCATATGAACGAGCAAAAGGCCAAGAGGCCAGCAACAGCCAGCGAGAATTCTGAGTAGGGGACTCTATGAGCCCCGTTGCCGAGATTCCAAGTCAGGGATGCACCAGCTATGCCCTAGGCCTTCTGAGCATGGTGCATACGAGCTGTCACTGGACTAGTTCACAGCAAAGCGGTCGAAACACTCGGTGAGCGGAGACAACCATCACCCCGTTTTAGGCAACTCGCATCGCATGCTCTTCATTTTCCCTTCTTGAGCCTACCATTTGCCCAATGCAGAGTTTTCAAGGATGATTTGTGGGACGGAAGCTGTTGCTTATGTTTCGCAAGAAAAAGATCACCTTAGCAACTGCGGGCTTGAGCTTCTTATCCACCCGCCTCAGTCTTTGCGCTACCCCCCTCGCCAAGATGCTACAGGCAGCCTTTGGGGCTATCAGGTTGCAGACTGGAAGGAAAAGCAATGTTGGAAGTAAGAAATCATGTATTGAAGTCTGATTAACAACAGACCTCCCTCTGTAATGTTGACCCCATATTGATCAACCCCCCAGTTTATTGATAGGGGGGGCGTCCCTGGGTTTAGTGGGGTTGCATCACTCTTGGAGGGGAACCCTCCCCCCCATTTAAATAAGTTGGGGTTGATGAAAATGGGGTTAACATCCATGGAACCCCTACCCCGGATTCCACGTCATAGAAGCCACTTCAGTGTTGGCGGTTTTTGGTTTGTTGGTTGTTTTAAATTAGTGTTGAGTAATACTTTGGATGGACAAAATCCATTTCGCGCCACCCAAGAAACCCTGGTTTCTGCTGATTCCCAAGGAAATACCGACCAACGTTCTGGTGTCAACCATGGTTTCATTTCGTGGTGCGACCGGATTTCGCTTTAGGGCCATAGAACAAAGCGGCGCATGGAGCAACTGGACGCGAGCTTCGGCGCAGGTTTTCTGCCCCGGGGCGGCCCAGGGCGAGGCGCGGACGGTGGCAGGTACTACGTGGGCCACGTGGGCGCTTTGGTCTGGCCTGGCCGGGTCAACCTGTTTTTTTGGGTGTCTGATACGGTGGTCAAGCCCAGAAGGGGCCTCAATCCCCATGTAGGCTAAGAATCCCTGAGTCTGAAGGGGCTTTGATGGGTTGCTTATGTTCTTTTTGGAGTCGGCTAAGGGGGATGCCAATTCAACCTACTGGATTGTCTCACCTGAAGTTGCCAACAGGAAGATTTGTAGGGTGTAGGTGCCGTCTGGAGCGCTGTGCGTCCGAAGGCACACATCAGCACACATCAGCGGTCGTGTGTTGGCCAACAGCTATTCGAATATGAGGGCGACGTATTTGGAAACCTTGCATTCTTTGCCAGGACTCTTTTGAACGTTACGTTGCCCTAGGGGGACAGTGAACATAACACAATAGTTGTGCGGACAATGTATACTGTATACACGTATGAACTTATTTATTCAGCAGAGATATAGCAATGATCGCACAGGTGAAGATCTATGGAGAAAGTACGTTTCCGCCAGGCTGCCGCGAGACGTCCTCGATGTACGCTTCTGTGGAAGAGGCCGACAAAAAAACGCTCCGGGCCAGTAAATAAAGCAATTGGCTCTACTAGCGGCTGATCTCGAGGATTTGTTTGTACAGTAAGCTTTGGGGGGTGTCCCGTTGCGGAAAAAATGTGGTGGTAGCTTTCCAGCGGCGAGGGAGTCCCGGGAGAGGAGACATAATGGGAATCACCCAGAAGGCATTGACTTGCCGCAGCCGTCGGGCACTTTTTATCTTCCGGACACGGACACCCGTCTGCGGGCACCCAATAGGTGTTTCCTCAAGTTCAACACCCTGGTTGGACCCAATTTTGCCCCTGTTTGCGCCTTTTGTTTTCTGAGAGAGGGGGAGAAGTGGGGACTGGTTCTCGGGCAGTGGGCAATGCT